AGGGGACAGAAACACACACACACACACGCGATCAGGGGACAGAAACACACACACACACACACGCGATCAGGGGACAGAAACACACACACACGCACGCGATCAGGGGACAGAAACACACACACACACACACACGCGATCAGGGGACAGAAACACACACACACACACACGCGATCAGGGGACAGAAACACACACACACGCACGCGATCAGGGGACAGAAACACACACACACACACACGCGATCAGGGGACAGAAACACACACACACACACGCGATCAGGGGACAGAAACACACACACACACACGCGATCAGGGGACAGAAACACACACACACACACACGATCAGGGGACAGAAACACACACACACACACACGCGATCAGGGGACAGAAACACACACACGCGATCAGGGGACAGAAACACACACACACACACACGCGATCAGGGGACAGAAACACACACACACACACACGCGATCAGGGGACAGAAACACACACACACACACACGCGATCAGGGGACAGAAACACACACACACGCACGCGATCAGGGGACAGAAACACACACACACACACACGCGATCAGGGGACAGAAACACACACACACACACGCGATCAGGGGACAGAAACACACACACACACACGCGATCAGGGGACAGAAACACACACACACACACACGATCAGGGGACAGAAACACACACACACACACACGCGATCAGGGGACAGAAACACACACACGCGATCAGGGGACAGAAACACACACACACACACGCGATCAGGGGACAGAAACACACACACACACACGCGATCAGGGGACAGAACTATACCTGGTTCAGGGCAGGTCCTTCTGGATGCGGTTCAGGATGTTCCCGCACACGAGGTTATAAAGCCGCTCCTTCGACATGGTTCCATCAAGTTGCACTGAAACACACACACACACACACACACACACATCTAATAAACGCTCCGTTAGTGAGGATCCCCATCCGACACGTCACTTTAACTGGAATATCACATAAAACACTTAAACGAGTCCATCATGAACGAGTGTGTGTCGAGCGTCATCATAAACAAGTTACATCAACTTTTTTGTAATAATTTTGACTCAGTATATGCCAACTTTGGCTTTTTATGTCGTAATTATTTGTCGTAAGCGTGTTTTATGTGCACGTCTTTATCATCCTCCTCAACGGAGCGCATCCAGTCAAGCAATACACCAAAATATTCAGAGTCCGACACTTACCAACATCGACTCCTGAGTCTTCCATGATCTTAGTATGTTTGACATACATGGGCCAGACGTGTCCGTCGAAGAGCCCGGGGGGGTCCGGCACGGCGTAGTTCCTTGAGCTGCCACACACACACACACACACACACACACACGGTGAGATCATGTGTGTATGGAGTGCTCTAAACACAGCCGGTGTGACACACACACACAGTGAGATCATGTGTGTATGGAGTGCTCTAAACACAGCCGGTGTGACACACACACACACACACACACACTCACACACACACACTCACACACACACTCACACTCACACACACACTCACACACACACACTCACACACACACTCACACACACACACACACACTCACACACACTGAGATCAGATGACACTCACCTCCTCCTCTTTTTGCATTCTTCGTATGGAATGGAAATAAAGTATCGTTGGTCGAACACATCGATCAAAGGTCTGCGGGAGAGAGAGGCGTTCAGTGCAAGCGTAGTGTGTTTGGTGTGTTCAGGTGTGTGTGTGTGTGTGTGGCGCTCACCCGTAGGTGTAGAGCAGGAAACCCTCCACGATCAGGATGTGCACGTCTCCTCGGGAGCGCGGCAGGATCTCGGAGTCCAGGCTGTTGTTCACACCGTGAGATCTCTCGAACTTCACCGGGTTCTGCTGCCATGCAGTGATGGTGCTCATCATGGCGTCCATGTCCAGAGCGCTGATGACTGCGCACACACACACACACACACGCGTGAGCGCGCCGCACACGCATCGCTCAACATGAACATGCAGAACCACACGCACAAGCCCTTGGCTTACCATCGTACTGCTTAAAGCCATCGTCATCGACTTCAATCTCATCCTGGGGCTGAAACACACCAATGAGACGCACTCGTGTGGATGTGATCATCACCAGCGCTAATGCGGGTCAGCTGACCAGGGCCGGGTCGACAGACGAGCCGCGCGCTTCTAACGCCAGATCTGTAGCGCCGGGCGTCCCATAATCGCAATAAACGTCCATCGTTTTGATATGAAAGAAAGTCTCAGCTTTCAGTTTCATGATGAAGTTCAGTCAGTAAATGTGTGTTTGTGTCTCTGTAATGTTGAAGCGATCATCTCTTCCTCTTTACTACTGGCAGCGAATAAACACGATGAACATCAGAAGGAATGTTGGAAGATTCAGAACAACTTCCTGAAATCAGAGTTTAACCGCGGAAAGACATCAATAACGGTTCGTACAGACACTAAAATTCCAGGACTATAATCCGAGATCGCACTTATCAAACAATATTTAAGGATTTATGGATTTTTTTAAAACTCAAATTACAGATATAAGGCATTCAAAATACAACGTATTCAATAATATATTAAATACAACGTTTATTAAGGCTATTATTGTTCATTATACCATGGTCTGGGTGAATACTCGATTCCGATTGGCTGCAGGATGTCCGTTAAAAAGTGATGGAGGACACCTAGTAAAGTAGTTCTGGTGAAACAGCCTGTTTACCGTTCGAAATTAATAAATAAATGCGCTGCCTACAACAGCTGTGAGTAACCATAGCAACAGGCAGTCAGAGTATCTGTTAACAATTTGCTCGATCAAAACAAACATCTAACGTTAGTTGGATATTACATAGCCTACTAATACAACAATGAGCAACTTCGTTATTTCTTTTAACATTTATGGAGAATATGACTACTTTGACGACTGGGATGCTGCTGAAGAAAGAAAAAATGTAAAAAAACCGGAGATTGATCTGATTAATTTATTGCCCTCTATAAGCGCAAATCACTGGAGCGAAGAACTAATTTTTATTTATTTTTATTTAAGCATTTTTGAACCTGAAGGGTTCTACAAGCTGAGGCAGGCAAGTTATTATTTGTAAAAACTAGATTTAGCCTAATTAAAATATAAACTAATGTTTTAAAAATGTTTTATTTGGCAAGTGACCATGGTATAAGTCCATTAAAACCTGACAATGGACACCTCGGAGGGCATTAACCCTTACGTAAATAATATTTCATATTATAATTTTGGTGTACGTAATATCCAAAGTCTGTTGGGGGTTTATCACACGGTGTTCATTTGGGATGAAAAGATTGTATTTGTGTGTTTTCAAAATAATTAAATTTCATATACGAGTGAAACACTTTTCAAGGTCCTCTTTGTAAATATGTCTGTTTTTAAGAGTTTTTCCAGGACTTCATGTCAAAAAGTCAAACTCAAGAACTTTAAGCACCTCGTACGAACCCTGATGAAACGGCGAGAGAACAATAATGTCACGTAACGCCACATTTAAAGCCATTCACTGTCCATAAACTCTAAAAATAACTCTAGAGGAGCGTTTTGATACATATATGTATTATTACATATATCTCAAAAAACGAAGCGGGAGTCAATTACGACATTAAAAAGTTTAAAACGCGTATCGAAGCCAATAGAAGTGTAAATTGAAGGTAACGAAGCTGTCGTCGCTGCCCAGCCCTGGAGCTGAAGTGAAGCCGTGTCTGTTCACACTGACCTTGAAGAAGTCGTCCTGGTGAACCACACAGCAGTTCGGCAAACTCTTGATCAGGCCGTCCGTCAGCGTGGTCTTACCGCCGTTAGTGACCCTGAAACACACAGCACATTATGTTTTATGAACATGTTATTATATATGAATGTGTCAATCATTCAGGACCAAACCACCACGCCTTTACTGTGCATTATTCTCTTTACTCATTGTTTTAGGTTAGATTTTACTTGGTTATTAAAATAATTTGTTTGTATTTTTTTCTGAAATTTTATAATATAAAGTGCCTTGAGAAGCTGCTTTAAAGGCGCTAAATAAAACAAAGTTTATTATTATTACTATACAAGATTACACAAATGGCTCATTTTCACCTGAAGTTAGTCTTTCAGACAGATGTGTAAAAAGAACCATAAAACATTATAACTCACAGGCATTAAAAACACAACACATTAATAAGAGTCAACTAAAGTAACCGTTACATTATTTTTCCGAAGTAATCTGTAATTTTCCATAGATGCTATTTTGTTGTTGTTGCTGTGACTGTAATCAAAAAGACGTTTCAAAAATGCTGAAGCGTTATTACTTCATGACACTGATTTTAGTTGTGTGAATTAATGAATTAATAACGCCTCAGAATCTTTGTAACGTATTTCAGACATTTCGCAGCTGTCTGGCGGGAAACGCGGTTGCTATGGAGATTTGTTTCCCAAAAATAACGAGAGGTCGCGCGCACCACGCGGTCTGCATCGAGCACGCGCTCGCTCACTCACTCACCCTCCGATGCCGATGATGAGCTTCATCCTCAAACCGAGAGAGACGCAAGAGAAAGTCGTGGATTACACCGATTACGGACCGATGACCGTACGAAGGAAAGCGTGAAAAGAGAAGGTTAAAGGAAATGTCAACTACTTGAGTCCTCCATGACGCTGAGTGAAAGCTGGACGATGGCGCTTCTTCGCGATCTTCCACAGAGAGACACTCGAGCGCTCGCGACAGCTCAGACACTACCCTCTGCTGCGCGCTGATTGGCTATATAAACCCAGCAGCCCAGCGGAAGCCACACCCTGGCCAATCAGAGAGCCGGATCCTTCTCCGCTTAAGCCCCGCCCAGCGTGGGTGGCACAGGATATTTTTGTGCTTCCTAATTTTCCTTTGCAATCCGAGAATGGAATTTTTAAATATATGGCTAAAAAAAAGCTGATATTTCAAAATGTATGAATATTTGTTTTTCTTTTGACCACTTAAAAATAAAGTAAAAGTTGTATCTGTTAACATTATTTAATGGACCTTTAACTAACACGAAACAGTGTTTTTATTAAATAACGTTAGCAAATATTAATAATAACTGTGACAAATGTATTGCTCATTGTTAGTTAATATTAGTTGATGCGCGGTAACAAATGGGACGTTATTGTAAAGTATTACCCTTAAGTTTATTACATGAACAAAAATCACACAATAAAATATAGCTTTTTTTCTAATTATTCATAGATTAATGTAGTTTTCCTTCTGCTAATTTTCCATGGCTGATGATCCGCTTATTCCTTACATGGATTCAGTTGGATCCACATTCCACACAAATCTTCACAAAACAAACACTTCAAATATGTAACTGCCATGCGCCTCAAAATTAAGCTTTAAAAATGTTTAAAATATAAATTCGTATGATATCCAGGCTCATTTTAGTTTATTTTCCTAATTGATTAAACAAGTTCTTAAAAACAGAAAGCGCATATTTTATATATCCTGTAAATAAGTTTATGTTTTGTAGTTCCCGAGGACACTTTATATACGCGGCGCCCCCTGGCGGAGAAACAGCGCGTTTTCATCGGGTACACTTTCCTCTCGTGTTCATGTAAACCCTGGCGGTTTGTCTTGTTTTTGTTCATTAAAATTAAAATGACGTTAAACAATATTTGAGGTTAATGCGGCGCTACCAACACACTAAACTACATGTCCCATGATTCATTGTGCGGTGCGCGGCGGAAGTGGGCGGAGTTAGCGTCAGCTCTCTGACAGACACTTTCAGGAAGTGCTCGAGGTAAGACATCACATCTTCCCGTTTTATTTAACCATTTCTGATTAAAAGTACTTTTATTTGCGCGAGCTATTTAATTAAAGCTGGTCTTTTCAACTCACATTTATGTTGTTCCTTAAACTGCTGAACGAGAACTTGTTTGATTGTTAGCATGCTAGTTTGTGGCTGAGGTTTCCTGCTGCGCGTCTGTATTTGTTCATATTAGATGCATAGAAATGATTTATTTAATATCTAACAGCTTTTGACATGTGTAAGAACTCTAGACCGTTGTATTATATTCTACCATCAAATAAGATTCTGTCGCGTGAGTCTCAGATTTGATCTGATAATAAAGAAATCGATTATAATCTGAAGTTTGATGGTTTTGTGGGTGAATATACAGTAAAGTGTAATTTATTCCTGTGATCTTCAGTGTCACATGACCCTTCAGAAATCACTCTAATATGAGGATCTGATGCTCAAGAAACATTTATGATTATTATCAATGTGGGAAACAGTTCAGATGTTTGTGGAAACTGTGATATATTACCATTGAAGTCAGTAAAATTAAAGAAATGTATATTTTTATTGATTAAGGACGCATTAAATTGATAATTTATAAAGTTACAAAATATTCTATTTCAAATAAATGCTGTTTTTTATCTTTCTGTTCAGCAAAGAATCTTGAGAAATTAAATATATCACAGTTTCCACAAACACATGAACTGTTTTTAACACTGATAATAATCATAAATGTTTCTTGATCATCAGATCCTCATATTAGAGTGATTTCTGAAGGATCATGTGACACTGAAGACTGGAGTAATGATGCTGAAAATACAGCTTTGATCACAGGAATAAATTACACTTTACTGTATATTCACATAGAAAACAGCTGATTTACACTGGAGTAATATTACACCGTTTTACTGCTTTTTCAGCAGTACAAATACACTTATTTATGAGACAGAGAACGTGTGAGTGTAAGTGTGTGTGTGTGTGTGTGAGAGCTGTAGCTGTGTATCTGGACAATAACTTTATTCTAGATCTGCTGTAAAGCCTAAACAATCTCTGTTACTGTAATCTCCTGTTATCACTGTAAAGCTGCTGTGAAACTCATAATGAAGGCGACGACTTGTGTGTGTGTGTGTGTGTGTGTGTGTGTGTGTGTGTGTGTGTGTGAGAGTGTGTGTGTGTCTGAGTGTAAGTGTAAGTGTGAAGAGTCTAAGTGTGTGTGTGTGTGTGTGTGTGTGTGTGTGTGTAAGTGAGTGTAAGTGTGTGTGTGTGTACATGTTTTTCTATCCCGGTGGGGACTTGAACCTGAATGCACACAGACTCATGGGGACTCGTGTCACTGTGGGCCTAAATTGAGGTCCTCATGGGTAAACACGCTTATAAATCATACAGAATTATTATTTTTTGAAAATGTAAAAATGCAGAATGTTTCCTGTGATGGGCAGGTTTAGGGGTCGGGTTAGTGTGTGTGTGTGTGTGTGTGATGGGTCGGGTTAGTGTAAGGGGACAGAATATACAGTTTGTACAGTATAAAAACCAGAGTCCTCACAAAGATAGTACACCAGACGTGTGTGTGTGTGTGTGTAAGTGAGTGTGTGTGTGTGTGTGTGTCAGTGTTGATGCTGATGTCCTTGATTTTTCAGGAGGATCCCCCGTCAGCGACGCCTCACATGTTCTCGTTCAGACGCTGAAACAGTTTCCGGCAGACGAGAGAGAGAACACAGTGTGTGTGAGAGAGAGAGAGTGAAAGAGAGAGAGAGAGTGTGTGTGTGTGTGTGTGTGTGTGTGAGTGTGTGTGTGTGAGAGCACAACAGTGTAAGACACACAGGAAGAGAGAAAGAAAGCAGACGGAGGAAGTCGCTGCAGAATGACAGAGTTCTGGGTGTGTTTCAGTTGCTGCGTCGCTGAGCAGCCGCAACCCGTGAGTCTCACACACACACACACACACACACGCTAAACACACACACACACACACGCTAAACACACACACACACGCTAAACACACGCACACGCTAAACACACACACACAGACACACGCTAAACACACACACGCTAAACACACACACACACACACGCTAAACACACACACACACGCTAAACACACACACACAGACACACGCTAAACACACACACGCTAAACACACACACACACACACACACACACTCTAAACACACACACACGCTAAACACACACACACACGCCAAACACACGTTAAGCACACGCTGGTGCTGCTGAGGGTCGAGGGTTCGGCGTGACGAGTGTGTGTGTGGAGACTCAGATCCAGACGAACCCGTCAGACGCTCAACTCTACGTGTGTCTCGCTCACTGTTCTTCCTGATGTGTGTGTGTGTGTGTGTGTGTGTGTGTGTGTCCAGAAGCGGAGGCGGAGGATAGATCGCACCATGATCGGAGAACCCACCAACTTCGTTCATATGACACACGTGGGCTCTGGAGAAATGGGTCAGCCGGCTGTGAGTCTCTCTCACACACACACACACACACACACACACACACACACACACACACTACCCCTAAACCTATCCAACACACACACACACATTGCAAAAATAATTGTAAAAATCCTTCATTATCTATGCAAAATATTATTGTATACTTATTAAACATCAAAATGCTTATTATGAACTCTAATTTCTGTCTTTTGTGGCCGGACGTGTTTTCCATCGGCTTCATATTTACATGTGTATGAGCTCAATCACTTCACACACTCTCTGAGGACATTTGCCTAACAAATGTGTGTGTGTGTGTGTGTGCAGGTGAACTCGGTCCAGGCGCAGATGAAGTCTAAAGGCGGCTACGGGAACGGCTCGGCGGAGGCGGCTCAGGGCTAGTCAGGTGACTCCGCTAACCGCTCTATAATAACGATAACCGCTTCTGCTCGCATATAATCATCTCACCTGTTTATGACACTCAATAAAAATGTAATAAATTGATACAATTTCTCGCAATTCCAAGTTTAATTCTCACAATTGAGACTTTTTTTTAAAGGAATTGCCAGTTTATATTTCACAATTCTGATTTTTAATCTCACAATTCAATTTTTTTTCTTTCTTTCTGTTTTTAGGTTGCTTTTTTCCACCATGGAATATGAAAATTAAAAGGTAATTGTGATTATTTTATTTATTTTTTCACTACAGAATAACAAAATAAAAAGGAAATAGCTTTTCTCTCTCGCTATTCCGAACGTTTATCTTTGCGATTCGGACTTTACACTCGCAATCCTGCGTTTACATCTCAATTACTTTTGTTTCTGATTTTTTCCCTTTTTCACAGAATAACAAAATAAAAAAGAAAACTGACTTTTTTAAATCTGACTTGTAAATATAAACGTAGAATTGCGAGAGAAACTATTTGATACTTAAATTAAAAATTCTCATTAGTATTGTAAGAAAACACTTATTTTACCTGGTCAAAAACAGCTCTGTTTTCAGCACGCCGTTTCAGTGCATATGCCTTTAAATGATCATGAGCTTTGCTGACTCCGCCCCTCTGTTCTGTGCATACACCGTTTGTAACACAATAACACAATAACCATAACGCGTTGTTCAGTATAAACGTGGAATTATGAATTATATTGAGAACGTTATACATAGAAAACATGCCGTAATGTACCCTGAGTGAGTGTAAACCTTAGACGCATTCATTGTGAAGCGATTTGCAAAGATTAATATATTAATATAAAGTTTAATAAAACGTTACACTCACTTCAGTTCTTCTGGAGGTTCAGCAGGAACACGAATATCTGGTACCGATCCTTTTTAGCAAAGCTTCTTAGCAAATCCAGCTTTACACTGACCCTCGTTTATAACGCAGTCTGGTGTGAAATGATTCGCGCACACATGAGAGCATTGACGTTGCTCGTGTGGAATATTCCCTTCGAAAACAAACTCAGCCACTGCGTCTTCAGCGGTTCGGATTCAGGAACATCAGAATGACTGTGTTCGTTATTACACCCAAGAACAGAACACCACAGTCGCTTAGCCGCCATTCTGCTCCAGCGTATCAACACTAGCGGACGAGGATGACAGCTCGCTCAGGGCAGGTCTGTGTGGAAACACTGCTGTCAATCAACACTCGTGGGCGGTGACGTCTGATCATGTGACGTCACACGGTGGAACGGCTCGGTCTGAGGCAGGGGAAAACATATAAGGAGATTAAAACAAAACCACTGGATGGATTTTTATCATTATATGATGGTTGTGTACAGGCACTGCCAACACACATTTCAGCACAATCAACCATTATATGACCCCTTTAAACTGAATAAAAGACTAAATTAAATCTGTTCATGATATATAAAGCCAGAAAACTTGGACAAAACCACTCAGTCCATCTGGATTAGTTGTACGATCTCTTTATGAGTTGCATAGACCGTCAAAAGAGGGACAGAAAGCTCTCAGATATCGTCAGAAATATATTTTGTTTCGAACGAAAGTCTTACAGGTTTTAATAAGTGACAGCATTTTTATCTTTGGGTGAACTATGCTTATAAAGTATATAAGTATATATCACTGCTTGATGAGTTACTGTTACGTGCATTTACTCAGACTCCTGCAGTAACACGTGTGTGTGTGTGTGTGTGTGTGTGTGTGTGTGTGTGTGTGTGTGTGTGTGTGTGTGTGTGTGTGTGTTGCAGGCGCTGAGGTCCATCTGAAGACACTGGCGCCGGACGGCTGTAGATATGTTTGTAATAAAGCACTGCTACTCTTTCACTGCTTCGATGATGTTCTGTACAAAAGACCTGCAACGGTGGAGAGTGTGTGTGAGGATCCAGAGTCTGATTACACTTCCCATGAATCTGGATCTATGTCATGGTTAAACGGTGGCTGGGCCACACACACACGCACACGGACACACACACACACACGCACACACACACACACACACACACACACATAAAAACAAGAGCACACACACACACACACACACACACGGACACACACGCACGCACACACACTCACGCACGCACACACACACACACACATAAAAACAAGAGCACACACACACACACGCTGTTATTAGGTCTGCAAGAACTGCCTTTTGTTACGTTGTACCCTTCCGATGTTCCCTGGCTCATGGAATATTCTTTATTGTTTTTGTTTTTATCTTTTAAATGTGCTGTAAACTTGAAATGTGCATCTCACTGTAATATTTGTGCAATGCTCTTACGGGACGCGTTGACAGGAAAGTATTTTTGTACAAATCGTGTTCAATTTCATTCTGATGCCTGAATAAAATTACAACCTTGTAAGACTTAGCATCTGAGATCTCATCAGTCGCACTTCATCATCGCGTTATAATCACACACACACACACACACACACACACTTCTTCATTCCTCACGAGCCAGACGTCTTTGCTCCGGTTCTTCAGATTCTGAGATTTCCAGACCTTGCTTATGAATAATGTACTGATCTTATCTTTAGTACTTTCAGCTCTTGTTTATTAATATGAATAATATATATATATATATATTTAGCATAACACGTTTTGTTCTTATATGTTTTTAAGTTTTATTATTATTATTAGCAGTATTATTTTGCTTGTTTTTTTATTCCATATAAAAATGCTGGTGTAAGATTAATACAGACAAATATAATAGAGTTACAGCTAAAAAAAGCTCAACTCAACTCCAGCTCAAAAGTACTCAGTGCATCAGTCTGCGGGGAAACACTTTGAGAACAAAATGTATTAAGTACGTATGATGAAAATAGAGGATACACTGCAAAAAGTTAGCTTTTATTTCTATTCTTGATTGGTTGACCTTTAGCGTGACGCGTCACAGTCAGGTGATCGAGCGACCGAATGCGGAAGAGGAAGTGAAAGTAGCTCACAGTGACTGTAAACATGACAGAAGCTAGACTTAGATAGTGAGTTTGCGATTTTAAAAGCGATTTTCAAAAAAATACGAGTGCAGAAACTCCTCTGAACTCGCTTTCTGACGAGCTTTGAGGTGGATATGACAGCGATGGCAGTGAAGGAGTCGATATTCCTCCTCCTGGTGTTGTTTTGCTCTCAGGTAAGCGCAGAAAATGAATCTGAAAGCCTGAAGCGCCATTAATGAGTGAATCAGCGAGTCTTTGAGTGAATTAGCGAATGTTTGAGTGAATCAGCGAGTGTTTGAGTGAATCAACGAGTGTTTGAGTGAATCAACGAGTGTTTGAGTGAGTTAGCGAGTGTTTGAGTGAATCAGCGAGTGTTTGAGTGAATTAGCGAATGTTTGGGTGAATTAGCGAGTGTTTGAGTGAATCAGCGAGTCTTTGAGTGAATTAGCGAATGTTTGGGTGAATTAGCGAGTGTTTGAGTGAATCAGCGAGTCTTTGAGTGAATTAGCGAATGTTTGGGTGAATCAGCGAGTGTTTGAGTGAATCAACGAGTGTTTGAGTGAATCAACGAGTGTTTGAGTGAGTTAGCGAGTGTTTGAGTGAATCAGCGAGTGTTTGAGTGAATCAGCGAGTGTTTGATTGAATCAGCGAGTGTTTGAGTGAATCAGCGAGTGTTTGAGTGAATCAGCGAGTGTTTGAGTGAATTAGCAGCGAGTGTTTGAGTGAATTAGCAGCGAGTGTTTGAGTGAATTAGCAGCGAGTGTTTGAGTGAATCAGCAGCGAGTGTTTGAGTGAATCAGCGAGTGTTTGAGTGAATTAGCGAGTGTTTGAGTGAATCAGCGAGTGTTTGAGTGAATCAACGAGTGTTTGGGTGAATTAGCGAATGTTTGAGTGAATTAGCGAGTCTTTGAGTGAATCAACGAGTGTTTGAGTGAATCAACGAGTGTTTGAGTTAGTGATGGGGACGAGACCGCCTATGCCGAGTCCGAGTCAAGACCGAGTCTTTGAAGGGTCGAGTCCGAGTCGAGACTGAGTCCGTTGGTTTTCAAATACAGTCGAGTCCAAGTCAAGACCGAGTCTTTGCGGAAGCAAGTCCGAGTCGAGATTTTGTCTCGACATGTCAGTTTTGATATTCATGATTTAATATCACCCCAGTTAATAATCAACAGTTAGGCCTACAGACTAAGCTAGGTTGGGAATTGTTTAGAGGAGCAGTCTTAACTAGTGATGGGGACGAGACCGCCTATGCCGAGTCCGAGTCAAGACCGAGTCTTTGAAGGGTCGAGTCCGAGACGAGTCTGAGAAAGCAGAAATCGGTCTCGAGACCGGACTCGAGTACTACATCACTAGTTTGAGTGAATCAGGTGTGTTTGGGTGAATCAGCGAGTGTTTGGGTGAATCAACGAGTGTTTGAGTGAATCAGTGAGTGTTTGTTTCAGTGAATCAGTGAGTGTTTGAGTGAATCAGTGAGTGTTTGTTTCAGTGAATCAGTGAGTGTTTGTTTCAGTGAATCAGTGAGTGTTTGAGTGAACCAGCGAGTGTTTGTGTGAATAAGCGAGTGTTTGAGTGAATCAGTGAGTGTTTGAGTGAATCAGTGAGTGTTTGAGTGAATCAGCGAGTGTTTGAGTGAATCAGTGAGTGTTTGAGTGAATCACAGCGAGTGTTTAAGTGAATCAGCGAGTGTTTGAGTGAACCAGCGAGTGTTTGTGTGAATAAGCGAGTGTTTGAGTGAATCAGTGAGTGTTTAAGTGAATCAGTGAGTGTTTGAGTGAATCAAGTGTGTTAAGGTGAATCAACCAGTGTTTAAGTGAATCAGCGAGTGTTTGGGTGAATCAGTGAGTGTTTGGGTGAATCAGTGAGTGTTTGGGTGAATAAGCGAGTGTTTGAGTGAATCAGTGAGTGTTTGAGTGAACCAGCGAGTGTTTGAGTGAACCAGCGAGTGTTTGAGTGAACCAGCGAGTGTTTGAGTGAATCAGTGAGTGTTTGAGTGAACCAGCGAGTGTTTGAGTGAATCAGCGAGTGTTTGAGTGAATCAGTGAGTGTTTAAGTGAATCAGTGAGTGTTTGAATGAATCAAGTGTGTTAAGGTGAATCAACCAGTGTTTAAGTGAATCAGCGAGTGTTTGGGTGAATCAGTGAGTGTTTGGGTGAATCAGTGAGTGTTTGGGTGAATAAGCGAGTGTTTGAGTGAATCAGCGAGTGTTTGAGTGAATCAGCGAGTGTTTGAGTGAATCAGCGAGTGTTTGAGTGAACCAGCGAGTGTTTGTGTGAATAAGCGAGTGTTTGAGTGAATCAGTGAGTGTTTGAGTGAATCAGCGAGTGTTTGAGTGAACCAGCGAGTGTTTGTGTGAATAAGCGAGTTTTTGAGTGAATCAGTGAGTGTTTGGGTGAATAAGCGAGTGTTTGAGTGAATCAGCGAGTGTTTGAGTGAATCATAGCGAGTGTTTGAGTGAATCATAGCGAGTGTTTGAGTGAATCAGTCAGTGTTTGAGTGTTTGAGTGAATCATAGCGAGTGTTTGAGTGAATCAGTGAGTGTTTGAGTGTTTGAGTGAATCAGTGAGTGTTTGAGTGAATCACAGCGAATATTTAAATGAATCAGTGAGTGTTTAAGTGAATCACAGCGAGTGTTTGAGTGAATCACAGCGAGTGTTTGAGTGAATCAGCGAGTGTTTAAGTGAATCAGTGAGTGTTTGAGTGAATCACAGCGAGTGTTTGAGTGAATCAGTGAGTGTTTGAGTGAATCACAGCGAGTGTTTAAGTGAATCAGTGAGTGTTTGAGTGAATCAGTGAGTGTTTGAGTGAATCACAGGGAGTGTTTGAGTGAATCACAGGGAGTGTTTGAGTGAATCAGCGAGTGTTTGGGTGAATCACAGCGAGTGTTTGAGTGAATCAGTGAGTGTTTGAGTGAATCAGCAAGTGTTTGGGTGAATCAGCGAGTGTTTGAGTGAATCACAGCGAGTGTTTGAGTGAATCAGTGAGTGTTTGAGTGAATCAGTGAGTGTTTGAGTGAATCAGTGAGTGTTTGAGTGAATCAGTGAGTGAATCAGTGAGTGTTTGAGTGAATCAGTGAGTGTTTGAGTGAATCAGTGAGTGTTTGAGTGAATCAGTGAGTGTTTGAGTGAATCACAGCGAATATTTAAGTGAGTCACAGCGAGTGTTTAAGTGAATCAGTGAGTGTTTAAGTGAATCAGTGAGTGTTTGAGTGAATCACAGGGAGTGTTTAAGTGAATTAGTGAGTGTTTGAGTGAATCAGTGAGTGTTTGAGTGAATCACAGGGAGTGTTTGAGTGATAATGCTAGTGTTTGTGTTTTTCTCTCATAGATCGCCAGCCAGGAGGCGATTCTGCGCGCGTCTAATGGATCTACATTCAAAGAATACTGTCTGGTGTTCAACTCGTCCTGGAGCAACATCTCCGACAGCCTGAGAGCAGCGGTGAGAGAGTCGGGCCGGGAAAGATTCATTCCGAATTTTTCGGAACTACGTTTTAATGGTTACATTTTAGCAATCAAAAAACATGTCTTATTAACTTGAAATCATGAGGTTTTTTTTTACAATAACAGGGCCTTATGTGTAGGGTTGCGAATCGTAAATCGATTCCAATTCTGGAATCGAATACTTGAGGTCAGGAATCGGATACTTGTTATTAAATTTAAATTTCGATTCCTTTGTGAGCATTTCAATATGACTTTAAAGCGTTCAAGCGCGTGTTATGTCCTGGTGTGTGTCAGTGTACTGGACCCGCAGCTCTTATAGTGACAGCGCTCATAATCCTGCCGTCTCTATAATAACACTAATCACACAAGACTTTTGAAACTATATTTGTAATGTATATTTTATTTATAAACTGCAGTGTTATTTTAAATTTGATTACAGTTTCTGAACCTGAAAATCTTACAACACTGTTTATTACAATCGTATCTTTTCTCAGTTGTGTCTATTTGTGATTGCTAATTTTTTATGTGTTCTTGTTTAATTACTGAGTGTTTATTGTCTTTAATAATGCTTGAAGTTTATATATATATATATATATATTTATCCTTTATTTAACCAGGAAATACCCATTGAGATTAAAAATCTCTTTTGCAAGGGAGACCTGGCCAAGATAGGCAGCAAAGTTACATCACATCATTACATACGTACAAAGACACACAAATGAAATCCAATTATGCACTTACAATGAAATCTCAATGAAAACATTGACATGTGAGGGAGTCCAACTCAAAGCATCTCATTCTTAACTTAAAAACACTCAAAGGAATCAATTTACTAAGTTTTAAGTTGTTCTGCAGCAAATTCCATGTAAAGGGAGCAGAATAAGCAAAGGCCTTTTTACCCAGCTCAGTACTGACATGTGGGACAGAAAACAAGACAACAGTCTGAGAACGGAGAGAGTAATGACCAACACTTTTTTTCATAAGAAGTGAACATAAATAGGATGGGAGTGCACCAAGAATAGCCATAAATGTATACCAATGACAAAGCCTCCGTGTGGCCAAAGCAGACCACCCTACACGAGAATACAGCTCACAGTGGTGGGTGCGAGCTTTACAATTAGTAATAAATCTCAACGATGCATGATAGGCTGCGTCAATCATGTGAAGGCATTGAGCAGATGAATGCATATATAATATATCACCATAATCCAGCACAGATAAAAAAGTGGATGCCACTAACCGTTTTTTAACATTAAAAGAAAAGCACAGCTTATTTCGAAAGTAAAAACCCAATTTTTGCCTCAACTTTCTCACTAGACAGTGAACATGAGGCTTCAATGATAGGCAGTCATCAATAACAATACCAAGATACTTATAAGTTGTAACAGTCTGTATTTCACATCCATCAAGAGTAATCACTGAGGGAACATTCAGTGGTCTATTCCGAAGGCCTGTGAAAAGCATACATTTGGTTTTGTCTGCATTGAGCACAAGTTTCAACTGTTGCAAAGTATTTTGGACCACATTAAAGGCATTCTGTAAATGTGCAATGGCTTGTTTAAGAGAGGGTGCACAGCACAGCAGTAAATAACTGTGTCATCTGCATAAAAATGAAAGTTTGCATCAGACACATGCCGATTAAGATTATTTATATAAATAGTAAATAAAAGAGGGCCTAATACAGAGCCTTGTGGAACCCCTTTAAGGATTGGTAAAATACCAGACTGAACACCATCATGCTTAATGCACTGAGTTCTGTCACTAAGATAGTTTGAGAACCAAGAGACAGTTTTCTTTGAAAATCCCGAATTAAGAAGCCTAATCTTTAAAACATCATGATCAACCGTGTCAAAAGCTTTTGACAAATCAATAAAAAGTGATGCACAGTGCTGCTTCTTGTCACGAGCAACAGAGATGTCATTTATCACCTTCATTGCAGCTGTGATGGTACTATGCATTTTTCTAAAACCTGACTGAGGTGGGGATAAAATGTCCTGTGCATGCAAGAAGTCTTTGATCTGATCACTCACCAGGGATTCAAGCATTTTGGCCAAAACAGACA